GGTGCGAGGAGAGAGGCGATGCGGGCGTTGCAACCAGACTGGACATAACGTTCGTACCTGCGCGGTTGAGATAGATAGTGCAAGTGATAGCGGCGATTCTGATAATTAATTTAGTATATCGTAATAGTTTATTAACTATGATAAAAGTCTGTTGTAATAACTTGAAGTTGACGCGCTAGTGNAAAGTGGCCGACTCGCTTGGGTGGCCGACTCGCTTGTGAACCACGTTATTCCTTTTGACACATTTATCCAATGACTTAACGAATTAAATGCTATTCGTTTGAACTCATATTAGCACGTTTACTCCATGTCACAATGCTGTAACAACTTCGCCAAGCAGTGGCAAGAAAGCAAGCTACGTTCATGAGAAGTGAGCAAACATAGAGACAAAAAAGCATTTCTTATCAGTGGAAAAAATCCTGGCGAGAGCATAGCTATAACGGTCGGTATATACTTTCGGACTCAAAGCCTGCTACTTCGCTTTTAGATGCTCGGGCCCAGCGTAACACAAGGGCTTGGCTAAGCATCAATGCATCTTACGTTACGTACACATCTTGGTGTATTTCTGTGGTTCTTTAGAGCGGGGTAAACGCAGTGTGCGGCTCTGGGTAGAAACCTTTGAACGGCGCTACTAAGGGGACGCCACTGGAAAGAACGACATCATGCCGAGTAAATAGTGAATCCAGCGCGTTTCCATGACAAGAATCTCATGCAACCGATATAAGTAACCGGAAAGCCAGCATAACCGGATATAGCCTACTAAGACGAACTATCACTTATATGCAGTACATTTGTTGTAACGTACTTAATTCCATACAAACTATGTACAGTTTAATACGCAAACTTAACGTCTACTCTCTTCAAACTGTGAAATTTTAATTAATGCTAACTAGAGCTACAGCTGCCTAAGAAGTAAACAAAGAGTGATTTGGCGGTATTTTGGTAGTTTGCACTGTTGGGACGGGCCGCTATTTTCCGGTTTTATTTGGCCGAACTGATCCGGATGATGTAATTTTGCATTCCCACTACACTCCCCGCATACTAACTATTATAAGTTCACATGAAACGTGAAAATTGCGAACACAAAATTCCTTGAGTCAGTTCATGTCACTCTAAAGCTCTCAATCAGCATCGCATTGGCCCGAACTACCCTATTACCACTCTTACCGAGTTTAAGCAATCTATTCATCCGTTATACAAAATCTCCTACAATAACTACGACATTACAAAAGACTTCAATAAACATGTCTCTTCCTTCAACGTTCCAGGGCGCCGAAGTGCCTGAGCCAAAAGCCCAGCTGTCCATTGCCCAACGCAGCCTATCTGATTTGAAGCCCAATGAAGTGGGTATCAAGGTCACTGCTACGGCCATCAACCCCGTCGATTACAAAATACGCGATTATGCCGTTTTCATACAGAAATACCCTGCAGTCCTCGGTTCCGATGCAGCAGGTGTAGTAGCTGCTGTCGGTTCTGAAGTCAAAGACTTGAAAGTCGGCGAGCGTGTGTTCTTCCAGGGTATCATTGGAAACTACGAATCATCAACCTTCCAGCAGTATTGCAAGATGCCCGCTGAGCTAGTGTCAAAGACACCCGACAACATCAGCGATGACGAAGCCGCAGGCATCATGCTGGCAACCGTAGCTGTTACGACTGGCTTTTACGCCCAAACAGGGCACGGCATGACACCACCATGGCAGGAAGGAGGTAGAAATGTTGGAAAGGGAAAGTCCATAATCATCATCGGCGGTGCATCTTCTGTAGGACAATATGCCATCCAAATGGCTCGCCTATCAGGCTTCGAGCGCATCGTCACAAATGCCAGTGCCAGCAACCACGAGTTTCTCAAAAAGATTGGCGCCCACGTCGTTTTGGATCGTTCTGAGTCCGCTCCTGATGCTGTTTTCGAAGCAGCGGGAGGACTCCCCTTCGACTTTATCTTCGATGCAATTTCCGCCCCCGCTACACAGAAGCTTGCGGTACAGGTTCTCCAGAAGGCAAAGGTATCTGGAGGTCATGTAGTCACTGTCCAATCCCCCGACGCTGAAGCCAAGACACTAGGTCAGAGTGAAGAGCCTCACATTGAAATCAAGGGTATTATGGGATTGGGAAGTTCGCCAGACCTACGGCATTTGAGTGAGCCTCTTGCCAAATCTCTGGGCGGACCCAATGGGTACATTGCGCAGGGGTTGTTTACTCCGAACCGGCCGCAATTGGTGCCTGGAGGGCTTGCCGGACTTGAGGAGGCCTTTTCTTTGAGCAAGAGCGGAGTATCTGGTAAAAAGCTTGTCATTCGCCCTCATGAAACGAAGTGAGTTAGGTGGGTCTGCTTAACAGCTGTTTGAGTGTAAACATGTAAGAATAGACAGTGCCAAAAACATATTTCATATTAGCAAGAACGAACAAGAATGATTGCAAGAGAATATTCAAAAAGCTAGGCTTGTATTCACACCAACTATAGCATTTGTGTCCGCTTGCAATCCGTACCAACAAGCAGAGCAAAGCTGGGCAACCGCACCATTTATGTGATTGAGATATTCCTATATACAAGAAGTAATGGGCCTGGAATGCTTCAAGAATGCATACCAGCAAGCAGAGTCTCGAGCGGCTGCGCGAGCCGTACGCCTCACGTCCAGAAATCTGGCTGCTGCTATCTTAGTTCGGGGGCTTGTAAGGAGCAGGGTACTGGGCCGTGACAGGAATATGAATACTGCCAACTAGGGTGTTGTCCTTGTGATTAGGCGAAAAGGTGGCTTCACCCTTGATAATCAACTCGTAGGGCTGCGAAACGCGCTGCTGAACAGTAAGGTCTATTTCCCAATGTGTCAGTAACTGCATATATATATTTCTCTTTTAACTTATAGAAGAGAAATAGGAGTGACTTACCTGAATGGGCCAGATCGAAGAAGTAATGGAAATAACCGGGTGTGCAGTCGGGATTGAATGGTCCTGAGCCATCATAATATGTCGTTTTGCAACTGGACCTGAAGCCTTTGGGCTCAGGGTACTTGTCGGAAACAAACTTGGCGCTAACGGTCTCGACAAAGCCGCCCTTAAAGTAGGAACGAACGAAATCGAAGTCCCAGAAGGCTACGGGGTCACGCTCAGCAAGTGCAGCGCGCTCAGCAACCACCTCTGGGTTGGGCACGGCGGCGGCGCTCGCGCAGGCAGTGAGAGTGAAGAAGGGGGTGGTGAAGCGCATGTTGAAGAGAAGTGTGTACTTTGTGCAAGTGACTTTGGAAGACTAGTTGATGATGAGTCTCTACACTGTTGTTCCTTCATCCCTTATATACCTTTTTCTCTGCTCCTTTACTAAGCTCGGTTGCCCAACAAACAATGCTAACAAGAGGACTCGTCATACTAGACTCGACTGTTGCTAGAGTTCGTATCCGGTGCTACCCATCCTCTACCAGGAGCGTAATGCGAAACTCAATCCAGTCATACCGTACAGCAGTGACAATATGTTCACTTGATATCGGGATGTAAGCCCATAATGGGTATAGTACCGTGTAGAGCCGCAACGATCGTCATGAAGGGAACCTCACGTTATACTTCCAAGCGACTTAGTATGAAATGTATCATATTTCTTGTGACTTCGCAATTTCATCATGTATACCTATGCTCGTCTCAACTACTACACGTCTCTATGTTGTGAGTGAATATTCGCCACTGCTCCTCTACTGTACTGTTGATACAACCTAGAAATAGCTCACGCAGACACCGGCGCATTCCGAACTTTGGACGTTCTCAAGCTAATGCAAACGCATCAAACTTTGTTTACGTAGCGAAAACAATCGCCATCGAAGAAAACCAGTGTCATATGTCTTTTGGCAAAGATCACCGGTAGTAAGACGGGAAGCGTTCCCTGTACCTCGACATCGACAGTGCTGCGATCGAGCTAAGACGAAAAAAGGTTTGCTGTATGACATAAGCTTAGCTACAAGAATAAGCTAAGGTGCAGGCACGTTTTTGCTATCCACGCGGGGAATATGTGGGACTTGAGGGGCTTTGAGGGGCTCATAATCTCGTTAGAGTTTGTATAATGCCGTTGGAAGAGTATGATATGGGGATGCAGGCTGTTGTGTATGTAGAAGCCGGCAACTAAATTTAGTAATTGGCCGGGGGACGACGAGAGTAAGCAGTACGATGGTGGGATTGGTGGCCGGTACGTTTGCGGAGGGTTGGAGTATGCACAAGAGTGCGATGTTTGGTGTCGATTGGCAACGAGTCTTGATGGTGAGTACGTCAGTGTAGTCAGAGACCCACTTTGACAAGTTTGCTTTTGATTGCATTTCATGCCGGTAGTTGCTGTAGGTGTTGCTATCACGAACATGAAACGAGTTCACATTCGTGTGACTATGTATAGTACCTGATGGCGATTCCTGGTGTTGTGAAGATTGTTATTATACTGAAGTGGCGTGAGAATCGAAGACCTATAACGAGTGGAATATGAAATAGAGATGACCAATACAGTCAGCTCGAGATTTAGAACGCCGACTTATGTTTTGTTAAATATAGTCTCAGAATCTACACGACAATGGCGTCTTCAGACGTCTTGTCGGTGGAAACGGCATTCTCTAGTTTGTATTCTCGAATTCACTTGCTTTCTCTGGCATAACTCTCATCAAAGAACACAACATGAGACCCAAGTTTGCGAGTGGGCATACCTGAATGGTCCTCCCTACCGTCTACTTACACGCAACTTTTCTATAAAAGTCTTCTCAACATCTTCCAAATGCCGTCTTGTGGTCAGCATACCGGCCATGAGGTAGATGACGTTACCCAAGATACGCGAATGAATCTGGACTTGGGGCGCTTCAGGGCTACCCCGTAGGAGCTCGTCGCGAAGTCCCACCGCAGCAGAAGAAGTGTATCCTATATTGCATTAGGCGGGAAGTAAAATAAAATCAACGTAAGACGTACCTGACCCGTGTCTATCGACGAGCGACACGGCAAGAACGGAGCCCAGCGCACTCACATGACCAACTTGCTCGTGTCGAGATAGATCCTCAACAAAGTCCTTGGACCACATGCTCCAGGAAGCGGTGGTGTCGTTGCTAGAACTGCTCCATTGCTCCTTGTACTGCTTCCACTCTTCGCCAACGCTCGCGTCCTGCATTGTTTGCAGACTAGTATTAGCGACATGACATCCAACCGCATGTGCAGTGTAGCTATGTCCATGCAATAAAGCCTCTGCCTTTTCGTCGCCCCAAAAAGCGTCAAAAATAGACTGACTAGCCAACGTAACAGAGAGAGGAAGAAGACCACCGGTAAGCAACTTCGCGTTGACGCTGATATCGGGATGCGTCTGGAGAAACGAGGCGGCTGAAAAGCGACCTAGACGATACAAACCAGTGAATACCTCATCGAACATAACGGGTAGTCCTGACCAAGTGACATCGCTCTCATCTGGAACTTGGTGAACTCGGGACCCGTTGCTAAAGTCGTAACAGCGCACGACACGGACAAGAGTTTGTTGGAAGAGCGGATCAACAAACAGCATACCTCCCGCTCCCAAAACAACAGGCTCCATAACCAACGCCCCAAACTTTCTCTCCTGCTTCCTCACCAGCTCATCCAACGTCTTCTCGATATAAGCTTCATAGCAGTCAGACCGGCCTCTCGCGGCCAAATCGAAAATGGCATCTTGTGTTTCAAAACACTGCGTAGGTCCGAATTCGGTCTCCAGATTCTCGGGGGGCTCGACAATCCACTGGCCGTTCTTGAGTTTGAAAGTAGGGAAATCGAACCAGAAGCCTCTGCCGCGGTACCAGTCTACTTTTTCGTTGAAGACACACGGCTCGGATGCGTCCATGGCGCCAATCGTGTCGCCGTGGTAGCTCCCTTTGAGGCCGATGACGCCAATATTCTCTTTAGTGCTGTCCCACTCGTAGTACTTGCTAGCCGCCCGAAGTGCCATTTTGATACCGACTTCAGTCGCCGTACTCCCATTGTCAGTGTAAAACACCTTTTTAAGGCGCGGATTTTGGGAGTCTTTTAGCATCTTTTCTGCCAGCTCGAGAGCGGGCTTGTGGGTGGCTCCGGCAAACATGACATGACCATATCTTCCTGCGGCATGTGCTACTTCTAGAGCAAGGCGGGGATTTCCATGGCCGAGCCCCTGAGTCCACCATGAGGCGGAGCCATCAAATGCCGGATACAGCGCCGAACGGTCCTCGTGGGCTGCTGACGTTTCACCAGTCTGCTTGACTTGGAAGTAATCGCCGTATGCAGAGTCAAAGACTAATATATCGTCGGCACTTTTCAAGTGCTTGTGTTGTGTAAAGGGATGCCAGATGGCTTCATTAGTCCGCGAGGCCATAGTACTTAGATTTTCGAGTCGTTCGCTGTGGCGACTGAGCAGCCTCGTAGCAACTTGGTCAATGGGCTCCTCGCCACTCTGGGAGCTGTAGTAGCCCTGCATCAAATCCGTCTCCTCCTTTGTGCCCGCCCCTATACCCTGCATATTCGGAATCCATGGCAAGGTGAAGGCCGCAATGCCCAAGTTCTTGAAGTACTCTTGTAGGTACTCGGCATTCTCATACTTACTCTGATCGTTGAAACACACGACGGCATCAATGTCATAGCCTCTTAATACCAGAGACTCTGCAGCAGATATTGTCGATGCAATACCGCCTAGGCGGTGGTCGCCGACTAGTACCGAGGGGAGTCGTAACGGACGGAAGATGTCAGCTTGCGGAGTACCTGAAGGTCCCGGGCTGAGCACACCCCCAGCGGTTTCAATCACAGCAAGGCCCATTGCATGTGCCTCCCCAGAGACTTCTTTCGCTTCCTGCTGGATAGTTCTGAAGACAGTCTGGCCGATGAGCTCATCGCTAGGCTAGGCCGATCAGCAAGAGCAGCCAGCAGACTCAGCAAAAAGACCTTACAATCAAGTCTGCACCTCTTGCCGCCACATGTGGACTAACAGCCTCATTGAACTTGAACAGCGTTGAAACACTTCTTCCGCTGTACTTTTGCACATAACTAATCCCCATCAGCCACAATTGCAGTTCGAAGCAGTAACAATCTCACCTATCATCAGCTTCATCCGCCGGCCCCGTAGAAACAGGCTTAATATACTGCACCCTCCACCTCGTCCTACCCGCTCTCCTCGCAAAATGCGCACCAAGCAACGTCGAAAACACCGTCTTCCCAACTCCCGTGTTAGCCCCATAGACCTGCACCGCAACAAGTCTCTTCCACAGTCCGCCTGGAACTCTAGCCATCCTTACTCTTTCTCAGCAACCACAACCAAAAAAAAAAGAAATATAATCAAGACACCCAATTGCACATGAGATCTCTCATATCAGGAGAAAAAAGACTCAATTGCAGCGGGGAAAGAATGGAGAGAGCTGCTGCGCTAGTTAATTAACGTAATAGTAGCCAGGCCAATGTTGGAGGGGGGGTAACTTTTGTTCCCTCCGAACCGAACCCGCCGCCCGTCCCCCCAACCCCAGTCAGGTACTACCTGTAGTACAAATCGAATTAGTCAAATCAAACAAAAATCCACCCGCACCCGCATATGCACGTTAGTATGCAAGTGGACTGTACATATTTACCCAAAGTTACCCTTTTTTGGAGCTAATTGATGACTAGAAAGTCCGCCCCGAAGCACATGAAAAATGGGCGCTGGGATACGTTTGTCGATTTCCCTCTTTCAACGGAAATTCGCGGCTCAAAGAAATAAACATCCCCCCCACGCTTGCGGTAACCCATATTGTCAATTATTCAATTGCTTACCAGGCCGGCGTCTCTCCCCCCCAGAAAGGGCACAAGAAAGAAGATTTGTTTTTGTCTAGCACTCCCAGACCCCACACGACCGGTATCCCCAGTGTCAATTGCTCAATTGCTTTCAGCGCGTCTCCCCAAAAAGAGCACAAGAAAGAAGAACAAGTAGGATTGTTTAACCCACCCCCGTCTCAATCCTACAAAATCCAATTCACTTCCATACCCATAAAAGAACCCTAAACAAAAAAGAGGAGGAATTCAAAAAAAAATGCCAAAGTCACCCCCAACCCCCTTAGAACAAACCCTCACCACCCACCTAACCACCCGCCTCGCCAACTCCACCCTCCGCACCCTCACCCTCCCCCCCACCGCCCACACCGACTTCTCCTCCAACGACTTCCTCTCCCTCTCCACCTCTCTACACCTCCGCACCCTCTTCCTGACCCACCTCTCCCCGCACCCCTTGGGCAGCGGAGGTTCGCGCCTCCTCGACGGCAACTCCATCCTCGCCATAAGCCTCGAAACCAGCATCGCGGCCTTCCACGGCGCAGCCGCCGGATTACTTTTCAACAGCGGATTCGACGCCAACGCGGGGTTCTTTGCGTCGGTGCCGCAGAGAGGTGATACGGTCGTGTATGACGACAAGGTGCATGCGAGTGTGCATGATGGGATGAGACTTTCGCGGGCTGCCCGTAGACTGCCTTTTCAACACAACTCGGTGGAGGCGCTGAGGAAAGTGCTAGAGGCGGAGCGAGAGAAGGGGGGGAAACAGAATGTTTTTATAGCGGTGGAGTCGGTGTATAGTATGGATGGCGATGTTGCGCCGCTACGCGAGATTGTGGAGGTCGCGGAGGAGGTGCTGGGGAGGGAGAGGGCGTACGTGGTTGTTGATGAGGCGCATGCGACGGGAGTGCTGGGGCCGAGGGGACGCGGGTTGGTGTGTGAGTTGGGACTAGAGGAGAGGGTGTTTGCGCGGCTGCATACGTTTGGCAAGGCGTTGGCGGGGAATGGAGGTGAGTCCGTTTGGAGGAGTCCAAAGGGGGGGGTTGCAGAGGGCATTGCTGAATGTGATTATAGCTATTCTTCTAGGATCCCATACTTTACGGAGTTATCTGATTAATTATGCGCGGCCTCTTATTTACACGACGTTCCTTTCGTATCCGTCGCTGGCGCTTATACAGGCGTCGTACGAAATGCTGCAGTCGGGGCAGAGCGAGGCGCTGCAGGCGAAGCTTCATGACCTCATTCGGACGCTGTATGCGAAGCTTGAGGGACTTCTGAAAACCTCGAGCCATGCGCGCTGCTTACTGAAGATTCCGTCGGTGTGTCCTAGATCGCCTATCTTTGCAGTGCAGTTGGTGAACCCAAAGGCACTTGCGAGCTCACTGCAAGGGCAAGGCATGATGGTGCGAGCAGTCGTGTCACCGACCGTACCCGCCGGTACAGAAAGAGTCCGAATATGCCTGCATGCCGGGAATACCATGGAAGAGATCGAAAAACTGGTGCTGGCGCTCAAGAGGTGGTGTGAAAGTCAAGCAGAAGAGAATACGGAACACCAACCCCTTGATACATCAAAGAGAGCAAGACTCTAAACGCACGAGGCATATCTTGATCATTATATACAAGTTACAAGACATAGATTCGGCTTCAGTAGCACATTGAAGAGCTCATCATCACAGAGCCTAAGCACTACATCTACCTCTCAAGCAAGTGCCTGCACCGTCGCCTCCGCCTCCGCCGCCGCAACAACCGCCTCGGCCTCCTCCTGCCCCGGCACCTTTCTCTTCTCCCCAATCGTCTCCTCCATCTTCATTGGCCTAAGCCCCCACCTTTGAAACATAGCCTTGTCTTCTTCCCACCCATTACATGCCGTCGTGAGCATCTTCTCGCCAGTGAACACGGCATTTGCACCAGCCTGGAAGCACAGAATCTGTTTTTCCTCACGCATGGTGTGGCGGCCGGCTGCGAGACGGATGATGGTGGTGGGAAGCACGAGTCGTGCAGTAGCAATGGTTCTGAGGATGGCATCAAAGGAGATGGCTTGGGTTTCTCCTAGTGGGGTGCCTTTGATGGGGACAAGGGCGTTGACGGGGAAGGACTCTGGGTGGGCGGGTAGTGTAGCTACAGTGTGGATGAGACCGACGTGGTCACGGGCTTTTTCCCCCAGACCAAGAATGCCACCGGTGCACACGTGAATACCTGCTTCCTGGACATTCTTGATGGTGTTGAGTCGCTCGTCGTACGTACGTGTGGTGATGACGCTAGGGTAGTGCTCGCGGCTCGTATCGACATTGTGATTGTAAGCCGTCAAGCCTGCATCTTTCAGTTCCTTTGCTTGAGCAGCATCGACCATGCCGAGGGTCACGCATGCCTCCATGCCCATGCCGCGCACGCCCTTGATCATTTCTTTGATGTTCTTGAGGTTCGTCTTACGACCCCTCATGTCTCTCCACGCGGCGCCCATGCAGAACCTCGAGCTGCCGTTTTCTTTAGCTATGCGTGCAGCTTCGAGGACGGATTCAACAGAGCTGAGCTTTGTAGCTTTGAGACCGGTGTCGTAGCGAGATGACTGGGCGCAGTAGGAACAGTCTTCACTGCAGCCGCCCGTCTTGATGTTGAAGAGGGTACACATCTGAATGGCAGCGGGGTCATGGAATCGGCGGTGGACTGAGGCCTACGAGACTGATGAGAGGGGCATATCGCTGGACAAGAGAGCAATTTGACCTACCGAAGCATAGGTAAGGTCAATCAGCGAAGTGTTGTATATCTCTGAAATCTCCTCCTTTGTCCAATTTGTCCGGGGTGCCTTTGCATTGAGTGCATTCTCAAACACCGTCGTCCGCGGTGTCGCCAGGCGTATTTGCTGCGTTCCCGGATCTACAGGCGTGTCGAGAACAGTACTAAAAGAGCGGGTGAAGCCATAGTAGACTCGGCGTGGGCCACTTGCACGAAGAAGCATTCTCTGAGCCATTGTGAAAAAAAAGAAGGCTGTTGGAATTCTCGAGCAAAGACAAGTGACAGCCCACTATGGACAGTCACTCAAAGAAACATGCCTCATCTAACCGCAAAACCACCCGCAAACGCGTCGGCGAGAGCGTGGGTAGAGAGTCTGTGGGGCTGCAGCCAATGGGCAAAGGGACGATGAACCGCGGGGGGGGGGGTGTAAGCTCCCCACGGACTGGAGGGGGTGCCGCCTTCAATACACGGTACAAAGCTCGTCGCTAACCCATTGCAGGCGTCAAGTCTTCCGTTGAAGACGCCAGTCATTCTGTCCAACCCGTAAGCAGTAACACACATGGTGCGAGTAATTTACCATGCAAATGATCCGTCACCGTTGTGTGGTTCAGTTGGATGGTGGTTGAGCAGGCCAGACCCACTGCCCTGCGTGCGCGCATTCAACATGCATATCGACCTCCCCTTGGCGGCCATAGCTCGTCCGTCTCCAACGCATCATAGCGTAATAATATTGCTCAACCCAATTGTGGCCAATTAGGACCCCATGGCATGTGATTGCTGCGACGGCGATCTTTTTTGGCCAACGGGCCGCAGGCGGGACTTGAGCCGGTCGGTCCTTGGATCGGCCGTGGCATCGTGCAGGGTGGGTGAACAATGCTTGCGAAAATACCTCCGAATATCATCGGTCCCATTATAAAGGAACCTCTACTGGTCAAAAGTAAATAAAACCCCGTCTCTGTAACATTCGTAGCGTAACCTATCTGTAAATGGCCCCAGGACTAAGAACACTCGAATCGTTAGCTATTCGTATAGAAAAACAACCAGGGGTCTCGAAATTACAGTACTACCTCCTCTCCATCAACCATCGTCACATACACATATACATACTTTCACTAACCTATCCCTGTCCCCCCTTCTACAAATTCCATCAATTTTCTTAAAAGCACTTCCACAGTCACGAGCATCTACTAGCGCCCTCCTTTGTCAAAAAGTTAGCCATACCTAGTTCCATCTTCATCTCTCTAAATGACGTCACCTCTCCCTTCCCTCTTCCTCCACCACCACCACCACCTCCATCTCCCCCCATCCCCATCCCCCTTCTCTATACAAAACTCTCCATTCAACTCAGATCCCAACCCAGCCAACCATGCTCTCCACCACCCTCCCCCTAACAACCCTCCTCCTAACCCTCACCACCCTCTCCCACATCATCCCCACAATCTCCCGCTTGAGACGCTACGAAGACGCCAGTCGGACCGCAGCACGGTATTCCGACACTGCAGCGCAGAAACTGCGTAAGACGCAAGTTACACAGGCGAGTGGGGTTGTCGCTGTATGTTTCCCTCCTTCTCCATCTCCCTTCTTCCTTCTTTCTTTCCATCGAAAGCAGCCTGGCTAATCATGTACATGGAAAAAAAAAAGACGGTAATTTCACTCGCTAGCTCACTCTATATATTGGCAAGTCCGAGTGGTAGTCGGGAGGTTGTGACGGCGGGGGTGAATACGGTGATATGTGCGGCAGCGTATGCGCACATGGCGGGATTTTGGAATGAGAAGGAACAGACGCGTATTCCACTGGCTTCGGACTTTAACGAAGCGATTAGGGGGAGTGAGAAGGTGGTTTTACTGTTGGGGACTTTGGGGTTGGGTTGGGGTGTTGCGGCGGGGATGTGGGTGGCTGGCATGGGTGATGGGTTGATGGGGTTGGCAATATGGGCGGCGGCGGTGGGAGCTAGGGTTTGGGGCATAGCGGGGGAGATGGGGTGGAAGGGTTAATGACTTTATGATGATGATGACGATGACGATGACGATGGTGATTGATCGACTATTCATTAATGTCTTTTACAAGAGTAATGGTAATAGATTGGGCGGATGTAGGATTAGATTATGATGATATGACTAGGGTATCTAATTACTTTACCTGATAAACAAAACGCAAGCTACGATTTCCCCTGATACTGCAGATCCTGTATCAAACGCATAGTATCGGCTTCTCGCACCCACTCTTCGATTCTCGCACCTGCTTCACCAACAAGCCGCTCATACGTCTCGTTGAGGAAGAAGAGAGACGTGTGTGCCGTGACTTCGTCCATATTCTCCATGAAGACAGGAACCCAGGTAGGATCCTTGTTGCCGTCCGAGTCTTTTGGCGGCAACATGCAAAATTTCTTTAGCTTCTTAGGTTTGGCTGGGACACTTGCGTCTGAATCCGTGCGTGGCGGGTGACTGTCGTGACTGTCGGTTGTAGAGAGGGTATACATCGATTCGTTACGACTGTCTGGCGGAGCCTGGTTCATGATGCGACTAGTGGAAAATTCATAGTGACCATACGGGCCTCGCTGCGGACCGGGTTGGTCCAGGTGCAAGGCACTGACATCTTCCTCAATCCCTATAATCGCAGGAACAGCCTCTGGTGTTTCTGGCGCAGGTGTTATTCCCTGGCGCAAATCTGCTTCTCTCTGTCTTTGTCTCGCCTCCTTTTCTCTCTGCTCAGCCTCAGCTTGCCTTTGCTCTCTTTCCTTCTGTCTCTGCCTCTCCTCCCTTGACATGTTTTGCTCTTCTTCATGCTTCTTTTGCTCGGCCTTTTCTTGCTCCCTGTACCTTTTCTCTTGTTCTTGCTGCCGCTTCTTCTCCGCCTTTTGCTGCTCTTTTTCCCACTTTTCCTCAAGCTTAGTGCGCTCGTTGATGATCTTGTTGCGCGCTTTTACAGCTCTTTGATATTCCTTGAGCGCCTGTTCGTACTCCTTTTCTGCGGCTTTCCGCTGGGTCTTGTCGTTGAATCGTACCAAGTCAACAAATGGAGGCTCCTGGGGGATGGGTGGTATTTCAGGAAGATCAGGCGGGCCGTTTTTGGGGGCATCTGAGTGATTGAGCTCCAGGGCTTGTCCATCTTCTTGACCCCCGATAGATGCCGGGGGTGAACTTGCTATAGGGTCCGGGTGTACGTGAGCCAATTCTGGGTCAGACGATGTTACTGAAGGGCTACTGGTACTCTCCTGCTGGTTGGCAGGTGTCGAGGTGTAGTGTGAGAGACTCGTTCCGCTATCCTGATGATGAAACTGAAGGCTCGATGGATGCGAAGGCTCGGGCGACTTTGGACGCTGGGTACATGAAGAACTTTGCTTCTTGGTCCTTCCCGTGCTTACTGTGTAGTAGTTGATGAAGCGCACGCGGGGTACCGAGGGCATCATAGGATGACTGTTCTTCCTCTTGGCCTCGTCGTCTTCTTCTAGCGCCCGTATCCTCGCATATCTTTCTTTTAATTCTTTGTAATCCGCCATAGCACCCCCGAATTCAAGATGGGATTTTACGAGTCCTTTAGTAGCCTCGGCCAGGCCGTCCTTGTAGTGCTTGGTGAGCCAGTGTAAACTATTTTCCCAGCCTTTTCTGTTTGGTAGGTGAATATCGTTAGCGAAACTGGGATTGTAATTTGGGTCATTTGGCTTGGGGTTGAAGAGTGTGTTGATTCGACTAGGCCTCTGTCCCAGACTGGAGTTCTCGATAATAGCATCTTGTGGGGGTGGGGGTGCGTTGAAAAGGCTGCCTAGGCCAGCCTTGATAATGCCAGGGTGCATGCCTAGAAAGGGGACATCAAAGTTTACGACTCCAATGATGCGATGACGAAAGGCTAAAGCAATGTCTGCGGCAAGCAAACCGCCCATGGAGTGACCGACCAGGATGATGTCGGTCCAGGGGTCTTCATGAGGGGCGAGCCTGGCGGCTGTTAGCAGGGTGCAAGCCGCGCAGGCGTATAGCGTACCAAGCTGAAAAGTTGTCTCTGGCGACTTGCAGCGAGTCCCGTGACTTGTAGCGGGGGTATACTTTTGTATGTACTACGTGGGAGTCTGCGAGAGTGACGGTGACAAGATTATGGACGTGGGCAGGGAAGCTTCTAAAACTTGTTTCATCGCCCATGAAGCCATGGATGTAGATGAGGAGTAGGCGGCGGCGGCCAGAGTCTTCGAGGGCGGGGTCTGGAACGAGGGACTGGGTAGACGAAGAGCGTGGATCTTTTGAGGACATGGACATGGAGGCAGACATTGCTGAATAAGGAGGGGGCGCGTCTTTAGCTGAAGATGAATGTCGCGGTGGCAGTGGTGGTGGGCGCGTATGGTGGTGCTCTGGGGGGGCCAAGGCAGGAAACGGCGAAGGCGACGTCATGGCTGGGCGAACTAGAGTTGCAGCGGCAGTGGCTTGCGGCTGCAGCAACTGTGACTACATGTGGATATTGCAGTATGGGCGAGAACAACGGTTTCTGGGATTGCAATGATGTTTGCGATGATGTTATACATGGCCTGGTACAAGGCGCAGCAAGGCGGAGGACACGGCAGAGGGGCAATGTGGGGTAGCAGCAGGGCAGCAGGGCAGCAGCGAAAGGTGACAGGCTACAGTACAGGCAGGTGGCTTGGCCTGGCAGGAGCTGACTGCAGCATCCGGACAGTCACGTGATGAAACAATTGTTGAGGCCGTGGCATTGCAGGTAAACATGTGTACCTGGGCATGGCGTGGTGGACGAGGGGAAAAGAGTTGTCATTGCAGGCATAGGCCGTCATCAAAAAATGTACACGACGAGTGCTATAGCAGGCAATGATTAGCAGCCATACCGTATTAATGGTGGAGGCGATGAGCGGCGGAGATTGGAGCCAAGACAGGCAACGCTCGTGCATATGGACAGCAAGAGCGGCGACAAGCGTCGTGATGACGACGAGGACGAGGACGAGGACGAGGATATGCATGCTGGCGAGACGGGCCTTTGGGGGGTTGCCTTTACGATGGGCGGGAGACAAACGCGGCTTGGCAATAAAAGGACGTGTGGGACGAGTCGTGTAGAGAGCAAAGCAGTTAGTCGGGAGTGGTTAGGTGCGACAAGACAATCAGTAAGGCGGCAGCTAAGAATAACCTCAAGCGTTTGCGGGTCTGCTTGTCCAGTGTTTGGGAATGGGGTTCCTGAGCGACGGCGTGGGCGCCACTACTGCACCTGCAGACGGGACGGGTGGTGGCTGCTAGTAGTAGTAGCAGCAGTAGGAGGAGCATGCATCCAGCCAGCCAGCCAACCGGCCAGACGACGGGCGACGAGTTACCGTGGGACGCGCGATGATGTTATTCTCCAATGTGGTTGATACGAAGAAGGAGAAGAAGAAGAAGATTCATTTCCTGGGACCTATTGCGTACAACGTCCATGTTATTATACCGGCCATCCATCCACGGACGCACATTCATAGCAGCATCGGTATTGGGACGCTGGTTCGCTGACGGGCAGTCGCGTCCATGGCCGTGCCGGGGGCGGATCCTGCTATTCCTGGACGTGTTATCTCGCTTGTGCGCCAATCAGCCTTGCCAGCCCTGTCCCCATGTCTCGTGCTCGCTGCCTCGCGCTGCCTCGCGCTGCCTCAGTCTCCCTCTCTTTGTCTCCCTCTCCCACGCCCACAGAGGGCCCGTTCCCGTCGCCGATTGCAGACGCCAACAATCCCTTTGCTGCCGCCTCCGCCTCCGCCTCCGCCTCCTCCCTCTCCCATCCACCTGATTCCCAGAACGCCCTCGTGTTTGCGCGACACCCTTCACGCCCGACACTCCTTTGCCCGTTGTCGCTTCCATGCTGTCACCTTGAAGCCTCCCCTTTGCGCGTGTGTATATGCCCAATTCGGCTGCTTGTCACCTCGCCTCGCCCACAACACTGACCTCCAGCCCGCCAGACCCATTGCTCCGCCGCTGACCAGGCTTCCGCTCCTTTCTCGCCATTCACTCGCTTGTGCTTGCCATCGGCCTCCATTGACTGGATCCCTTGCCTCGTCTGCTCTAATTCCGGACTTTTCGACTTTGCTACGCTCCTTACCTGCCGGAAACATTGAAAACATCAGAAACATTGAAAAACAACAACACATGTTCCGCCAATACACCCGACTCACCTCCATCACCACCAACACCAACACCACCACGCCTGCTCCGTTGGCCCTGGCCCTCTAGCTTTGGTCACATTGTCGCGACTTTATGGACGGTCCTGCCAACCCCACCCTCGTATCGAGAATTCATTCGCGCCACCGTTATCAAGCCCAACAGGCTCCCCAGCAAAGGCTTCCTGCACCCGATCACCCTCAATCACACGACCAATTCCTTCCCCCAGGACCTGACGCAGCACCCAGAAGCAGAGAGAGTATGAGCAGAGGCCATCGCTTCTTCCACCGTCGCGCTGTGCTGGACAATGTTGAAATCGTCACGGTCCTTGCTACAGTCGACGAAGCTGGCAATGTCATCGCCCAGGAGACGCTACCACCTGTCCCACCACCATCTTTGCCAGATGTAGTCGCTACCGCCGTCGCCGCCATGGCTTCTGCGGCGCCAGTCGCTCAGCCAGTTCAGCTGGCGCTTCCTTCGGCTGCGCTTGCTGTACCCGACGTTCCTGCGCTGCCCATTCCTGCGCAGCCACCTGTGCCTGTGCCTGCTCCTGCGCTACCATCGGTGGCTCCTGCCGTGCCCTCCTCTGTAGCTGTTCCCGTACTGCCAGCTGTACCTGATACCGCGCTGCCCATACCCGATACTGCGCTGCCCATACCCGACACTGCATTGCCTGATAAAGCACTGCCTGTACCTAATCCTGCGATTGCGGCACCCGTACCCGACCCTGCACTGCCAGCTGTACCCACTCTTGTAACATCTTCTGTGGTTGTTCCTACACTGCCAACTCTGTCTGCTCCAGCGCTAGCGGCTGTCGCTGTTCCTGCGGTACCATCTGTCGCTGTTCCTGCGGTACCATCTGTCGCTGTTCCTGCAGTGCCATCTGTACCTGTTCCTGTTCTCCCGTCTGTACCAGCAGTACCACCGTTTCCCACCGACCTGGTCGTCCCAACTGTCCCAGCGTATCCTTTTCCATCGCTGAACTATGTCGCTCAACCCGTGGTTACATCTACTTCGAGTGCTTCAACATCATCCTCAATTCAAAGCACTGCCGCGCCATCTCTCCCCTCTACTATCAACTCGGCTGCCAACACGACCCTATCATGTAAGCATGCCGTATTTCCACATTTGTTCTCCACTAACTCTGACAGCCACCTCATCACTGTTGTCGTCTTCTATCTTGGCCTCTTTTGATAGTATCTCGGCCTCGTCCGCAACAGACCTTGCTGTATCAGTCAATGCCGTCCCAACTCGCTCACCGTCTGCTTCACAGTCTCTTGCTGCTTCCACCAGGACGTCACTCACACAGGCAATAATCAGCTCACAGTCGGCTCGCAGCGTTGCCTCTGCTTCGAGTGCCCCAACTGCCTCGAGTGTCCCGACTACAACCGCGAATTATGGCGGCTGGGGTGGTAATGCGCCTGGCACCGCAGGAGCCCCTGCTCCAACTACATCAGCTACGTCGACCGCCGATACCAACTCCAGCCCTAGTGCTCTTGAAACGCCCAAAGTCGTTGGTAGCGTTTTAGGGAGTCTTGCCGGAGTTGCCCTCATCTTGGCCTTGATATTGTTTCTTTTGAAACGCCACAAGCAGAAGCGAGGCGGTGCTCTACAGCTCACTGGCGACGATCATCACCAGGAAAGCAACCGGTCCATGACCCAGGCGCCTGCCCCAAGCAACACCCTTGTCCCTATCGCCTTCCTCAAACGCTTTTCTGGTATGTCTGGCAAGACGGCCGAGACTAGCACGAGCGCTGGTGAGCGGAGCTTTCAACGAGTGTCGGGTCGCAAGTTGCCATCTGCCTTCAGTGAAGGCATGACGTCCGATCAATTCTCTCGCGGAGGCACAATGTCCGGTTCATCATTCTACCAAGACGATCATGGTCTCTATGGCGGCACAGGTCTGTCTAAAGAGATGGGTAAGGAGATTGGCGAGAGTTCTGCCCCACGCGAATCAGGACAGATGAACTTTCGACCCAGCCCTGCAAGAACACCCATCATCCGCCATCCCGACGATGGCAATCCTTTTGCAGATCGTCACCACCTCAGTCCGCCACATTCTCCTGTCGGCGAACTGCCTCCTAGAGGTACGCTCGGAAGAAGCTTGCCCTCGGCCGACGGGTCGCGCTCAAGCAAATTCACCGAGAATGTTTGAACGACCTGCTAGCCTTTGCTTCTCTGTTTACTCTTTGTTTATACTTTATTCACGACACGCATGAAAATGCACATACTGTTTGGTTTTTTTGGGCTTGCCTACCAGCACCTCACAGCTGGTTTTGGGTCGGCCATCTGGTCTCAGTTATACCCCTTGGATTTTTGTCGGACAATGGCCTTATTCACTCACCCTCATACTGTCCCTAATCCGGTCGCCTCATGCTGGTTTGGCCCGATAAAGATAATGTCTTGTCTTTTTTTTTGTTTCTTTAAACTACGCTTCTGTTCCCATTTACTTTGAACGTGTGTTTTGTCTTGTTCGGCGTATTCCATTCTCTGACGACTCTCGCTTTTGAGCCTCGGGCTCAGGAGCGAAATGTGGTTGTTTCCATACCCTTTTGGCGTTGTTCAAGCTGAGCAAACACTGCTCCGGTTCTACGCCTCGCTTTTTTTTGTTTAAAACTGGCCCTACATACATAGGTATGTGTGTATGTACTTATTATCTTTCTGGGGGGACCGTCCTTTGATGGATGGATAAGTAGCCGTGTGAATATGGGTTCGCACCATGTTAGGGTATCTGAGGGGGTGAAGACTAGAGGTTCAATTGATACAAAGTAATCAATAGAATCTCTGTCACGCCTTTAAAAGTATGGTTTACTTGGTTCAATATTTTTTTTCGTGCCGTGATTATTGTGACTTTGGCTATGTTTTATGTTTAATCCAATTGGGGTTTTCTAAAAGAAGAAATGCGATCTAAGTACATAGTGTCAGAAAGCTCTACTAATATCGATCAGAGCTATGCTGAGATCTTAGAGCTCTTCTTCCTCAGCTATCGTCAATCACTCGACGAACACGAGAATTCTCTGTCTCCTCTCCCTAGCATCCGCATCACTCAGCCGTCACCGCAGCAGTAAGCAAATCACAAACAGTAACTAGACGCTTCACCCCCCATACTCACTCCTCCTTCCTCTCGCACCCCCCTTCTCTCTATCCACACACACACCCCTCTATCTATCCATCTCCACCCCATCACCGCTCCCCCCTCCCTCCCAAACTAAAAAAAAAAGATCCTTAC